TTGGATCACAGTTTTGCATTTTATCTTTCTTACTAGGGCTGGGTTCGGTTTTTTGCCAAAACCTCAACCGAATCAAAATTTCGGTTCGGTTCATTTTTTTCCGGTTTTTTCTCGGTTCGGTTTTTTTTTCGGTTTGGTTTCAGTTTTTTTTTCCCTCCAAAAAATGAAAAAAAATTGAAATATGAAATTTTAACATCTCCAACATAACATAAGAATTCCAACTATAATCAAAGACAATGAAAATAAACTTTTAAAGTTTAAGTCTTTCAAAGTCCAAACTTAAAATAAACATCAAAATTTAAGTCTTCAAAAAGTCTGTTGGTACCATATTATATTGGGCCTCGTTACTTGGGCTTCCAGACATTAAGCCCATAATTCATGTAAAAGGGGACGAGCCCTTAGTTTATAAAAGGGCATTCTCACCCTCACAGTCCTCAAGCCTCACATCCCCAAATAGAGGCTCTCATATTCAGAGCAAAGCTCTCTCAAGCTCTCTCTTTCTCTGGGGGACTCCCCCTCATACTTGTAATCCATACATACAGTTATAGAGAAATACAATCAACATCAGCGTGGACGTAGCCCAAACATTGGGGTGAACCACGATACATTTTGTGTTCTTTACTTTCTTGCATATTCATGGTCGGATTTACGTTGTTCCAAGACCCTCCGGTTTTGTGCATCAACAAAGTCCAAATTTAAAATAAACATCACACAAATCAAATAAACCTTCAAGCTTTCATCACTTCATGTCTTGCACAAATAAAATCTTCAAGTCCTCAAGCTCAAGCTCAACGCTTAGGCGGTCTAGGAGGCAACATAGCATCCTACATTTGCTTTTATATAATCATTCTATATAAAAGCAAAGGTAGGATGCACATGCAAAAGCAACGGAATTGTCTTTCAAAAACCTGCAAAGGCACACACAAACACATAGAAAGTGCAACAAACATAAATTTTAAGTCCCCTTAAATTTTCACACATGAATCGATTACATTAACTATTGCACCGTGGCGTCAGGCGTGCATGGAAATTAGAAACTGCATAGTGGTTTTCATTAGATGGTGCATAAGGAAATTAGAAACTATATTCTAAAAGCTTGCTCACTCATGCAGACTCCACAGCTAAGCTACCATTTTGCTCAGTTTCTCAGTTTGCTCAGAGAATCACAGAAGGCAACCTCAAAAATCTTAAAAGCTAAACCCTTATACTACAACAGTACAAATGTTGTCTGCTTATCAATCCAATATCTGACACTCCAATTAAGCATGCTTATGAAGGAAGAAAAAAAAAGGCCCGTAAATGTATAAACTTACAAATACAAAAGATGATGACAAGAATTCCTCTGTGATATCAAATGACTAGAGACGGCACGAAGGAGTATATATCCAGTTATAGATAAGTTGTTGACAATTTTAAGTCCCAGATGGGTTCCTCTCAGACTCCATGAACTATGAATAAAAATTAGGTTTTTAGGGGCATATTTTTGTGAGTAAATTGAAAGAGAAGGATTTGGTGATATAAAATTGACCATTTTAATTATTTTCTGGGGCATATTTCTGTGGGTTTTAGCTTGGTTTCATGGCCTTAGAGTGAAAGCTGCAGAGAAAACCCTGGAGTGAAAGCTACAGAACCAAATCTAGCATAGCAAAACAAATTGCATAACCAAAATTTCTCACAAATTAATCAAACCTCAACTAATAGTGTTCAGAAATGAAGTTACCCAACCAAATCCAACATACCCAAAACAAATTGCAAAACCCATGAAATTGAAAAGCTACAAAACCCAAGAAATTGAAAACAAAATCTGCAAAACGCATCAAATTGAAAACAAAATATGTAGAACATGAGAGAAATTACCATGAGACTAACCTTGCAAAGGAAGGAAGTCATGGGTAGAGACTCGAAACGGCGAGAGGAAGTCGCGGGTCATGGCCACGAGTCATTGGGAGCGAGACTGAGAGTGAGACGGCGACACTTGCGCGGTGACAATGAGATGTGAGATGAAGGAAGAAGAAGACAAAGGGAAAGAGCGGCGGAGTTAGGAGTGGGAAGGAGAGGGTCCAGAGTACAGAGGAGAAGAAGTGGAAAGGGATCGATGTTATTGTTTAGGGTTCTAGAATTCGGACTGAACGACAAACCAATACAAGATTGAAGACTGAACAACGTTGTTTCAAGGAAAAAAAATCATTAATTTATACTTCGGTTCGGTCCAGTTTTCGAACCCCAGAAACCGAACCAAACGGAACCAGAGTCAGTTTGGTTCGGTTTGGTTTAACCGTTTAGGTTCGGTTTTCAGTCCCTTTTTTTTCGGTTTTCAGTTTTTTGAACCCACGCCTACTTCTTACAACTTTAACAATTCATATTCTTTTTATATGAATGCAAGGAAACTTCCATGCAAAGTGAAAGGTCGTCTGATCACTAAAAGTTGAACAGTTGGCTGGCTTGGCTCTTGTCTCTTGTTGTGAAGGATTGAAGCAGACGCAGCCCCACTGGTTAGTTTGAGGAGAAAGACTTACATGAACAGGATTAGTGTTATTGTGGTGGTGTCTGAAATCACTAACACAAGATCATAGGAAGAGTTTTGGAACAAGTTCACCGCCGTCACGGTGTTCCTAAAAGCCACCTGAGAAGAGTCTCAGAGCTTTATATTAGAAGCCTGAGATACACGTTGGTGGTGAACCTGTCCTGTTTTACTCTTGCTGTCTCCACCAGTCTTCGACAACTAATTCCACTGATAAATTTCCCTTGGCTGTTAACTTAACTGTCTTCTATTTTATAAGCTCTCATTGTTATTCCAGAATTTTTGCTCACTATGACAATAGAATGTCGCCTCTGTTGAAAACCAATCGCAAGTTCACAATCCCTTAGGTTGAGGAATAATATCATGATATAATTACAAATCCATATTCTTGATAAATTTTTCAGTGTGTCGGGAATATGACCCAGTAAAACAAGTGTTATAATAAAAGTGGTTGAATACTTAGAAAACAATTTCAGCCACTTATCTTATTCACTCGTTATACTGGACCGTGTTCCCGACACACTAAAAAATCTCTCCAATATTCTCTCAGGGTTGTATGCCAATTGGTAGGCTCTGGAATTTGTTCCAAACATTATTTCACACACACGTACATACAAATAAATATTCTGATAAAATCCTCGAATCCAGGGGTTGGTTAATTTCATTTTAATTAGATTATGTAAATATTTAGACTATATAATAATGTGGGGACAAATTTGTAGTTTAAATGCCATTTTCATCGTTAATATTCATTACAAAATAAATACACTTGATAATGCATTCAATCGTCATTGCTGGTTGCTTATGAACAATTCATTTTTAATATTTTTTTTCATTGGTTTAATTCCTTTCCTATTTAGATTCCAAGAGTTTTTAGGGTTAAATTATATTATAAATAGGTCATCTTGATCTTAATTAGGTTTGTAATCTTTCATATTATTAATCAAATTTTGAGAGCGTATCTCAATTCTCTGGAGCTCCAGAAATCTATTGAAGGAGGACTGTTTGTGATCTCTTTATCCTATAACTACTTCTGTGTCAATAATCAAAGTTTACATTTGACAATACACTTACATACACTACAATGGTACTTCACTTTATTCTTTATTTTATTTTATTTATTTATTTAAATTTTTTGGAAAACCTCGACCGTCCGAAGAAACAAACAAATGCACCAGCCAGGAATTGAGCTCGATTCATCTATTATGATTAGCGTATGTTTGTTGTTCAAGTTGTATGTATAACTAGGACAATTTATTCTTTTAATCATCATTTAAAGATTATTTAAAAAAATAATAAAATTTTGAACATTGCTTTGTCATTCATGTATATTAATTAAATTGATGATTTTAATATCAAGTAACGTAGTCATGTTGAATTTTTCATTGCTCGATATATATAAATGACTAAACAATCTCTAATTTAATAGATTTTTTGGAGAAGCGATCAAAGATAAAAATGCTAATCGCAATTAATGAAGATGGTGTCCCGTAGGTTGATAAATTATATATTTTACTTTTGTACAAGAGGCAACTTAGCTCAAATTTCGGAAATTGCTTAAGATTTTATATAACCAAGATTAGAAGCTTCCATCCAATAGGTTTCATCTTACGTCATTTATTTGACCAACCAAAAAGTGGGGTCATCATAGTTTTCACAATCTCTCGTGAGCAAGAAGTTAAAGTTTCAAGAGCAATCCAAGGACGACCAAGATTTTTTTTTTTTTTTTTTTTTTTTTTTGACAAATGCTACAAGGAGTATCTCAACAGTAAAACCCTTTACGTATTATCTATCATTTTATGTTTTTGATATAATATTTTATAATATTAGCATGAAAATTGACGTTAACTGGGAGATGTCATATAATCCATGAAAAAATCTCACATTAATTTAAGAAAATCCCTTTAACTTTAAATTTAGGAAAAAAAAAATTGCATGCATTTGTGGATTCGATCCTCAAATTCTGGCCGATTGATACAAGCAACCAACTTTTGGACCACTTGCCAATGGTTTGCTAGTATATGCATGGGTTTGAGTTTTCAAACATTAAACAAGGACGGTTCACGTTATGTGACCGGCTGGTACTAGTGTACTTATTTGGACCAACCCTAGCTTCTTACTTGTAAATTTAATTTCCTAGCTTAATTTGTGGATTTCGGAAGGAAACTTTCCAACCTCCTCCCCCACTCTCTGGAGAGATTTTTTAATGGGACATGAACACGAAATGGTACATCATATGCCACTATACAAATAATGAGATATATATGTTAAAAAGTTAATAACTTAAAAAATAAAATTTTTCACCATTTATATAAAAACACGTGGTGTACCACTCGTGTTCCGGTCACAATGAAAAATTTCTCCACTCTTTGGCTTGGCCATGCACATGCAATATATCATATCTCTATATCTATAGATCTCTATGCTGATATTATTCGTCTATATATATATATATGATCCGCGATCCCAATACATATAAATAATTACAGATGTATATTGTATACGTAACGTTTGGCTTTAACTAGATGGAAAGTATGAGCCATGGAGGAAGTTTCTCCTTCAGCTGCTCCGAGTCCGACATGAACTTTTCTTCCCTCTCACATTTCACCGACGACGATGAATCGTACATCGAAATAGCGCTTGACCATCATCACCATGATCATCCCAAACCATCAAACCAAGATGATGATGAGGATGAAGATCGTGATCGTGGAGCATTAGACCATGCCGATTACTTGCGCATATCGTTTTCGTCTAGTCTTCTCCCGGAGCTCTCCGCCACCACCCTTTCTCCCAATCACGTCTCTAAGCCTGCTTCTGATCACCCAATAAACCATATTCCGTCATCGCCGACAGTATCATATTCTTGCCCGCTCGATTCTTCTTCCATGGAAGGCAGTTCTAGGGGTCCGCTAGGATCGGATGAGCCTTCAAGGCTCCACAGAAGTACTAGTACAAAAGAAAGACTGCCCAGAGTCAACCGGCTAGTCAACACGCTGCTGTTTGGTCTCCGGTCATCATCGGAATCCCCTACCCCTGCGGACGACGCTGACCTGGAACGGAGCAGGTATGCGATACTAATAAACAACTTAACTAACCCATGTCTTTATTATAATAGTTGTTCATTTCGTTGAAAATTAGTGTGAATGCACCAAAACTATAAAATATGTACATGTTATTGTGCAACAGTCATATCATATATAACATGTCGGCATGGTGTAACGAGGACAATATCTGGCTCTATTCTTAAATTTAAGTAGGTATTTTTACATATTCAGCTTAATCACACTTTCATGAGTGCATAATTTTTTTGTCTGCATATATGTTGTCAACATGTTATTTGCATTAATAAAAAATAAGTCAATTCTAGAAAAAGGCTAAACAATGTCCGCTTACAAATTGATTTAATACCCTTTACTAATTACCAGATGGCATGTGCTTGCATGAAACTAATAAAGGAAAGCATCAAACAAAAGAACCTCAAGAAAAGGTGGCATCATGAAGTTGCTCTTCAAGTTCCGAGCCATGAATCTTGGAGCCCTGGTAGCTTCATTTGCAAAACCCCGCCTAGCTGCTTGCGACGATGACGATCCTCACCAATCCCAAAACATTAATCGTCGACGAAAGAATAACAAATCGAAAGAGAGTGGCAGCAGTACTCTTCCATGGTCGGTTCAAAAGAAGCAAGGGAAAAGCAGCAGGACCAAGAACTCTTCAGAAGCAGTAGGAGGAGGTGACAAGTCCAGAGTATTATTGGAGATAAACTTGAGCGCAGTTAGAGGGTTTTTAGAAGCTATAGGAAATAGCATGAGCACAGGTGGTACTGGTCGGAAAGAAAGAAGAACAAGGAGCTGCCCAAGTTCTATTAAGTCCTCCCCAATGCACCAAGGATTTACAATTGATGACCATAGTAATAAAGTGTATTTTCATACAAGAGAAACCTCAATTCAGGCTGCAATTGCTCACTGTAAAACTTCATTTGAACAAACATCCATGTCCTGATTAATTTTGGCTTTTGACGTATCTACATGTTTGTTGTAGTGTGGTTTTAGTTTTGGTTCACATGAATATTTTTTTATGTACAAACTCTTCTAACAAGATCTTGTTTTCGATGGACTTTGATTACTCACATGAACAACCAAGTAAGAAGAATATTACAAAACAACCAAAATGTTCCACTACTCACACGAACAAGTAAGAAGAATTATACAAAACAACCAAAACGCCATACATAAAAGGGTGCAAATGCACACCAAGAATTCAAGAAGTTATAATGGTTCGACGATTATGCCTATGTCCACTTTGGTGTTACTCGAGATACCTCACTATATTATGAAAAGTCTTTTTGGTTACAAGAACCTCTTTGCTCCTCTAAACCCTACTTGATATCTCACACACCCCTTCACGATCTCTCAAAGTACTTTCCTTGTGTTTCATGTACAAAGAATAAAATCATCATAAAATTATATTTATATTTATAGGCTTAGGTTACAACGGTTCGTCCAAAACCAACGACCGATCGTCCCTGCACTTTTGGTATGTACGATGATAACCATAAAATAATATAGAAGGGACTTATCAAGGAACAAAAAATACTTTAGAAGTCATTTTCTGGCCTAATTGGCATAATGTGAGGCCATACATATTGTAAAACCTATGTAAAATAAGGGAATGAACTTGTTGTACAAAATCTCTCCATAGATCTTGTTATCAAAATACCGAACAGAAGCAAACACACCTTAAAAAAAAAAGATTTCTAGTGCCAATTGGAAGTGGGTTTATCATTTCTTATACCTCAATAGTATGAATACTTACAACAGCCCTCAACCACAAGAAAAATATCAAAACACCTAGCAAAGGCAAATCAACACTACAATTACAAGTAAACCCCTTTTGTTCTAACCCTAGGTCTCAATTTCTCGCTCTCCCCGCTCACAACACTCAAAGTGTCTCTCTTGTAATTGTCAATCGTTATCTTTGCTGACAACGAAGCTAATCGGAGTTTGAGAAGATGAAAAACTTTAGGAAGAAGGGAAATAAAAAGATGGTAGATTTTATCAAAAAAAAAAAAAAAAGAGAAGAAGAGACGGAGAGGAGAAGACAACTTGCTGCAGCCTACTTTATGTGTCATTCATATTCAACAAATATACCTTCAGTCTATAAATCGACTCAAATCCCTCTATAATTCTATTAACCGTGAATGGATTAACCTTCTATTTCCATTCGCGATCAGATTTTTATCTCCAGCTCTTTCTCTTACGAGCATCCTTTAGTAAAAAGTATAATACAACGTCAGATTGCCAAAGATATATTCTCAAAATTTTATTTTGCAAAACTCTAGTCACCAAATTTCTTTAAAATAATATGTAGACACTTATTGATAGACTTTTATTATGGATATAAACGGAAAAGATTCAACTCTATGATAGTGAAATTTTGGTGGTTGAGATGTGGCCATCTTTTTTATCTTCAATTAGCATGGAGTTTTGGGGTCGTTAAATATTTTATTGAGTCAGATTCTACCATAGCAGCTATTTAAGTTTCATACGCTTTTGTACACTTTGATTTTGGCTAGTTGAGATCTTATCTCAAACTTTGTCATTGCGAGATCAAGCATATTTATAGAAAGATGAATATAGTTGCGGATGATATGGACAGCTTATTCTTTCATTGGATTTTGGGCTATGTTTTCTTTCATAGGCCTCTTCCCTCTTGCAACTGTGAAATATATTGCAAAATTATGCTAACAATTTATATAATCAAATATAACAAATTAAATGTATAATTACAATTAGCTTTATGACAAATTAAATGAGAAAAAGAGAATTAGAAAATCTAGCCTATGAACCAAAGAGAGGCGCGACGTCACTGCCCTAAAGTCGTAGATGTCTCCCCACGTGCAAGTTATGGCGGTTCCTACAACTCCAAGATACAACATAAAGCCTCACAGGATGTCTGATTTGCTATACATGTACACCAGTGACAAACGGAATTGCCAAATAGTGATCAATTACCCAAAGATAAAACACATGAATTGTAGGTTTGTAAAATTGACGATGATAGAAATATGAAGGGTGAAGGAAACATAGTATTTTTAACGTATGTTGTTTTCTATCTGAGATTCCTTATTCAAAGAACTCTTCATACCCCCTTAAAAAAGAATTATGACTCTTCAAATGAAATACAACGTTTTAAATTAAAATAATAAAATAATGAGTTTTGAATCTTTATGATAAAATAAAATAATTAAGGTAATTAACCAACAACAACCCTACGATGACAACATATTAAATCCGAATGTGACTCAAATATAGAAGTGATGCTAGAAATCTCATGTACTTAGATTATATTTTGTAGATCATATGATCAAGCAATTGAGAATTGAATTCATTTTTAAATCATTAAAAAAGATATCTAACCTACCTTCAACAACCACATCATGTAGTTTACAAAATATAGTCTAAAAACATAGTTTCCCTAGCATTTTCAAAATATAAGCAACGGATACATGAAAATTTAGAATGAGCTTTTTTAAATGTATTGTTAGTCCAACGTTGTCTGAGAACAACGAGTGAAAGAGGAGGCAAGATGAATAAAACATTCCTTAATTTCAGCTTAACTCAAGTCGGCCAAATAATGAAATCAAGGCAAGGCTGCTCAGTATAGCACTAGCATTTGAGAAAATAAAAACTCTTAAGCCAATGGATTCCTCCATGTCCACGTAATATATAATTACTCAAGATAATATAATGTGTTTGGTGCTTGGGAAAAACCTAAAAGAGCAAAGAAAAAAAAAAGTGTATAATATTAATGTACAATTTCATTGGCGTCACTAATTTAATAAATGTTAAAAATGTTAGGGAGATCAAAATTTTAAATCGTTTTTTGTAAATTTAAATGATGTGGAATGGTTGAGCTCTTTTTTTAATGAGCACCATCTCGACATGTATCTAATACAATCACTATCTCAATGGTTAGATAATAATTGTATTAAATACATAATACTGTAGCCAGTCCCTTGATTCAAAATTAATTTACCTATATTTTATCACTGTTTAATCTACCTATTGTTTGAAACGCATATATTTTACTTACTGTTTAATTTTTATAAAACAGTGTCGATATTGTTTAAATTTTACTAGAGACAATGCATCTAATAGCTTATTTTACACAAAAGCAAACAAGAACTTAAAAACAAATTAAATGTTGTTGACCATCAAAAACAAAATTTAATGTCTAGAAAAAAACGTAATAGACATCGCATTGTTTTGTAAAATAAAATAAAATAAAATTTATGGACATCTTTTACCTTACATGGCATTGCTGTTAGAGTTATAATAAAGTTTTAATATCCGTGAGTTTATGTCCAGAGTTTAAGAGTAGTGAGGGCCTAAATGTAAATGGACCTATATAAAACCATGCACTCATAACTCATAAGCAGTGAGAGATCATGGCAGAGGGTCTTCAGGTAGCAATGATATGTTGGTCACTTGTGTTGATCGGTGTTTTGAGTGTGGTGATGCGATTGTTCAAGGAGATGTGGCTAAAACCTGCAAGGATCCGGTCAGTGCTTCGGAAGCAAGGCATCGGAGGGCCACCACCTTCATTCCTTGATGGGAATATGACAGAGATGCAAAAAATTCAATCCACCACCAACATCATCCATGAACCTTCTGATCCTAAAGATTTCCAGCACAATTGGGTTCCCTCCATCTTTCCGTATCTTCAGCGGTGGGAGCAGAAGTACGGTATGAAACTAATTATACTTGCATAACCCAGTAGGTACTGTACAGTACAATAAGTAAATTACAGGAAACATATATTCTTACCATGTTATAACTTCTATGTATATATACAGCAAAGGGTTCAATTTTTACATTAATTATTAGGTTCACTTCTTTATAGACACGTATGATGAGATTTAGGCGAGCATAACTGCGCATTAGGAAATCATCTGATTGCTACAGCAGCGTACCCTCCTTCCACTCAGAGAAACTTGATTTGGAATTGAGAACAAAGGTTATTAATATAATTTGATGAATGCAATTATATATAAGGAAAACTAATGAAAAGGGCTCGAAAACTTTGAGTTTTAATGATAAGGACAAAATAAAGGGTAAAGTGAATAGTACCAGGATTGACTTTTTAGTGTAAAAATGTGGTTTTTCGTTAAAGGGAACAGTACCGGGTGCTTTTCGTTAAAGTTCCCTTATATATATGCAGGTCCAGTATACATGTACTCAACGGGGAGCAAACAACACATGTATGTGAGTGATCCCAAGTTGTTAAAGGAGCTGAAACTGCAAAACTACATGGATTTGGGTGTACCGAAATATTTGAGTAAGCCACTCCTGCCCTTGATAGGCAACAGCATAATTCGGGCCAACGGACAAGATTTTGCCTACCAGAAGAAACTCATCGCTCCCGAATTCTTCCTTAACAAGGTCAAGGTAATATATACTCAACGAGCTTCCCTAGGTAGCACATATTGTATACATCTATGTGCTTACCTCTCCTATCATGTGAGTATCACGTGATGAAAGAGGTAGATTAAGCAGTCTAAATTCTTGTTCTTTAAAAACTATAAAAGCATGTTTTGGTAATTCAAATATCGGAGAGTATTGTAGGGCATGATGGATATGATGGAGGAATCTGCAGTGGCACTTCTTAAGACATGGGAAAGACGTTTACTAAAAAGTGAGGGAGGTGTTTTGGAGATAATAGTCGATAAAGAACTGAAGACCCTGTCTGCTGATATCATATCAAGAGCTTGTTTTGGTAGCACTTACTCCCAAGGCAACCAGATTTTTGCAAAGATTGCTCTCCTCCAGGAGGCCTTGTCAAATCCAATTTTGCTCTTTGGGGTTATCAATTTTGGGTTCGTTTTTTTTTTTTTTTTTTTTTTTTTCTTTCGACATGCATGTTTTTGTAATTTTCTTTTCATCTTTTGTTTGCTGTCTTCTTGTTGTTTAGTCTTTGAGTGCCGTGCCGTGGACAAATATTTGGTTTTGGATTATACTTCCCTCATTTCTAATAAAGTAGGAAAAGTCATAATCAAAATCTTTCATTATTTTTGTTATCATCTAAAGATCATTTTTGGAAAAATCCATTT